ACAATAATGCAATACGTAAGACATTGAAATCAATATCTAAGAGGTGTTAAAGTTGAAATTAAATTGTGTGAGAGGTGCATGTGTCAATGTCATGAAGAAATTCGACTCCGATATGGAGGCCACGGTAGCTCAATTGGTTAGAGTCCCGGCCGTGTCTAATTTAAATCTATATAGTTTTTTAACCGCCTCTGTAGCCAAACGGTATTGCCTAGCATCGCGTTATGCGCGAGGGTTCAAACCCCAGGGGAAAAAAAACGTTGTTCCGGTCGGGTCGGGCACAGAAGTCTAATCAACTACTTGTCCGATAAAAAGAACGGATCAGTGAAACAGGCACAGAAATGTGTTCGCCCCATGCCCCACGCCCCACGAGGGGGAAACGGGAATTCACATACTTTTTTATATAGGTTTTTTATAAGTTTTTCAAACTGGACTTGCTTTGATAACGACTATTTGCTATATATAACTACTTGGTAAAATATTTTACCATTACAGTTATAATTTTTCATACTGTCACCTTAAATAAATAATTTAAATGTTTATGTTGCTCCCCCTAACAGTCTTTTCAAACATACCATATTCTTTATCTATCAAACCGTTGTATAATATTTTTCTTTAATCTATATGTGATAGTGAGAAATAGTTTCAATTAATTTAAAGGCTAATTCAACTTGGACTAAATTATTCAAGTTATGGTGACATATAATTATAGTGAGATGGTACTTGATTATAATCTAGTATCCGCCGTTGTAATATTGTACTCTAGTTACGACACAACACTAATCTAATTTGTATCCATACTAACCACTTACTTTAGTAACATAACGAACAATATCTTTTCTACTATTTTGAAATGTTTAAAACTATACATTGTCTGTAGTAGTGCACAATTAAGTAAGTAATTCATTTTAGAATTTTAAGTAGTTTCATTTATTTAAATAAAAAACTTTATCGGTTTGAAACTCGATAATAAACCAGTGGTCACGGAAAGTCACTGCTGCAAAGAATCCGAAACGTCGGGCCGTAGTCTAAATAACTTTTAACTAATATATTTCGCGTTTTAAACCGTTACAGTGTTTTATTTAAATGTGTATTACTCGCGTAAACTGCAGACAATATTTAAGTTTGATTTATGTAAGGCATATCTGGGTCCGTTTTATTGGTTGATTTTTATATAGAGGCACGTATAAAATCACATAATTGTTGTGTTTAATAAACTATAAAAGTATGAGACAATTTCCCCGAGTAGTTCTAATATTTCCAAGCAATAAAACCTCCGACGGGCATTGGATACTTATGTTAAATTACATCCAAGATATAAATAACAGGATACTTTTAAAATTTTCATTACATTTGCCCATAAAAGAGGCCATTCTACGGAGGAGTTCCGTACTTCTTCTTTAAATGAGATTTATGTGACATATTTTAACAGAATTATGTGTGCTGTGGTAAATTTGAGTGTTGCAACACTCGCGGTAAGTGCAAAATTTTAAATATGCAGCGCAAAAACTTGCAACACCAAGAACAAAGTTGTACACTAGAAATGAAATTAAGAGCTGACGAGTGATGCGATATAAATAATTATATTATACATCCATATTTTTATTTTTACGTACAAACGATGATTGGTTGAACACACGAGAACTTCGTGAAGAATTCACTTAAATCTATACTAATATATAAAGCTGTGAAGAGTTTGTTAGTTTGAACGCCCTAATCTCATATAAACTACTGGTTCGAATTACAAAATTATTTTTCTGTTAGTTAGAGTATTGATCGAGGGCATTTATAGGCTACTAGCGGTCCTGTCCCGGGTTCGCACGGGTAGAGTAGATAAATAAGTACAAATATTTAAATTTCAAAGATGCTAATTAAAACGACCATGAATCACTAAATTAGAAAAAAATTGTATTGCGCGTCCTCGCTGTTAATGACCTTGGTCTATCTCGCTGGTTCAGGAGCCGCTGAGAGCGTTCGTTGTTAGTGTCCCGTGCACGCGTTACCCAAAAAAATGTATGAAATAATGATTCATCTTTAAATAATACAAAAAAAATCTCCGCGACGGTATATGTCTATGTTTTCAGATAAAGTTGTAACGATCTCTTACAGGCCCTTTTTAATTTAGCTGTTACCCACGACGGGTCGCGACCGACGTCGTGGGTAACAGCTTAAGTATATAGAGTTGAACAAGAGGTTTCCAATTACCAAATTTTGATGGCCAAAATAACTACTCTATGTGGACGAAGTCACTGGCACAGATGTAAAAATTAAGTACCGATATCGTTGTTGCAAGAGACACACAAGAACTTTCGCGAAGAATTTAAATCGAATGATTTGTTTGTATCTTCGTAATACCGTAAACGGTAAAATAATAAACAAACGCACTTCAAAATTGACACATTTTTTAACAATATTAAATCGAGTTTCGAATGAGCACGCCAAGTAGTCAACACTATGAAATATTACCTTTTGAAAGACACTTCCTCCGCTTAAAATTCACAGCTTATAGAAGCTAGGGATAATATTTCATTTACGAATGAAATTTTGCACATCATTTACTTGAGAGATAAATATATTCTTGTTAGAATTTGAACTCTACATTTCAATATTATCGCATAAAATGCAAAAATCAGTGTATTTAACTGTAGTTATGGAAAAACAAGATTGTCTACAGTATTATCTATGGTAAAGATAAAATAAAATAGCTATAAACGAGGTCTACAATTTGACGGGCTCGTTGGTTATACTATTGTCTATTAGGTAGTGGGTCGATCCCTATTGGGTGCAACATGTTTCAAATCAATTTATAATTTTACCGACTTTGTCTCAAAGGAGTGATTAAATGCGCGGTAGAAATACCATTGTCCGTACGGGTAACGAACCACCGTCCACAGGTGAAAGTCGTCGGTATAGTCTGTGGATTTCCAAATATCCATAAGCAAAAATATGGCATATCGTCAAGATGTTAAATGTTTTGGAGTATTTAAACAAAACACAACCGTGGTGAAAGGGTTACGAGCATCCGAAACGTCGAACCGTCGTTATAAATGATTTTCTACTAAAATACTAAATAAAACAAAAGAAAAAGGAGACTTAATCTTCCATCGAGTAACACCAAACTTGTTGGATTATTATTTTGATTATACTGTAGTTGCATGGTAGTATATATTACTAATAAAGCCTTTTGTATAAATGTCTACATAAAAATTCTATCAAAAGAACATATTTCAAAGATTTCAAAGACTCATCATTTTTATTTAAGTACGTTTTCTCGCAAATTGTAGCTTAATGGACCTTTAATGTAAGATGCAGAGGGTCACGACTAATAAATATTACAAAATAAAAAAAATTTGAAAATGGAGTGGGATTTTTTTTTTACGTTGTTTTTGCTTTTATGATCCGATGTTGTTTTGTTATTTAAATGATCCAAAATTATTAACGTTATGTCAATATAACAATGAGAAATAAATAGTAATAATACATCAATTTCAACCAAATTTGTTTCTATAAAAACCGTTCTTGTGAATCTCAAAAATAGAATAATACTGTCGCGGACATTTTTTAGATTGTCTAAAGAGAATAGTCCCTTAACACATGTGTTTTTGGTTTCTTAAACCATTTCCACAGCGCACGCGACGAAAGCCCTCTTTGATGTTGCAGCAGATAGTCTCGATAAATGTTCCAAACGACACAAGCATTTTTTCCATTCGAACCAGTTCCTGAGATGAGTGCATTCAAACAAACACACTCTTCAGCTTTATAATATTAGGATAAATTAAATTTTATAGTTAGTAGGTTTTTAAGCCTCAACATATGCTGAAAGATGCAATGGGCACAGATAAACAAGCTATGAGTTTCAATAGCGTCTCAGCTTGAGCTTGTAGATGTATAAGGTGTTTTGTAATATTTGGTCTCTTTTTTTTATTAAAATACTTATACCTGTAAAAATTTCTTCAGAACACTAACAGAACATATTACTTTAGAATCGTCGGATATGTCCCCTCAGTCAATAGCGAAAAATGAAAGGAATATAAAGCATTAATTCCGACGCGAAGCGGGTAGGTCTTGACCTGTATTCGGTGAAGTCAAGTGTAGCGTAGTGTTCGCCTTTTATTAATGAGGGATAAAATATTGACAGCACTGCTATGTATAAGAGATAGTACATTGGACTTTTAAATGTTCTATTGAAACAAATGGGAGGGAGAAAGACTGTTACAAGCCCCCTTTACCCGTGGGTTACATACTCAGTAATGTAATTATTTATGGGTAATCCGTTGATCGAACTTCTGTGCCCTGCCCGACCGAAACAATGTTATAACCGGATTTCAAGATTCCGGATTCTCAGAACATCTCGTGCCATAAATAATTGCTGATAAAAATTTACTTGTATTTTTTAATTGCGGTATGGATATTTTTCATACAGACAAATAAAGCGTTTTATCCTCTAGAAACGGAATACCATTCAAGACCCTTTTTTATTATACCATAATCGATAAAAGTCAACTTAAATAATATCTTTTTATAAATAAGACCTTTCTTAGAACGTTTATTACTTTCTTGAAAGAACAAGGAATGAGGTAGAAAAAATATTTCCTTAAACGAAGCGTTGAAACCTTTTATTGGTGTCCATGAACTATCTAACCCCTTTGAGGCTCGCACGTGTCCTAAGTGTAGGCTCTACAAAGGAATGTGTTGGTCATAACGAAATGGTAGTCTAATATTGAATGTATAAATTGTATAAAGCTTTCGCGACCATTTTGCAAAGCTACTTGGGTTTTCGAGCTATTAACCATCTCGACTGGAATTTGTTATCAGATGGTTACGCCCTCCAAATAAATGTATGATTTTTTTCAAAAATTTAAGTGGACGAATTCACCAACACAGGTAATACAGAATATGGATTTCGAGCACAAATTTTACCCGATAACTTTAATAAGAATTATAAGAGTAATGATGTAGAATTTGTGAATTTTAAAAACAATCTTGTGTTTCTGTAAAATTACCTATAAATAGGTTTTCCGCCTGTGGCCTTTCCGGCTCGGAACCATAGCACCATGTATACTCTATCTTCGTTGGCATCCGGTGTGACGTCACAAGGCAGAGATGCCGTTCGTCCCAACACTGCGTCCACCTCCACTGTTGACACTGTAAAAAGGAAAAATGGATAAGCTTATTTGTAATTAGAAATAGAAAATGAATTGCTTTATGTTCTATACTAATATATAAAGCTTAAGAGTTTGTATGTTTGAACGCACTAATCTCAAGAACTAGTGGTTCGAATTGAAAAGTTATCTCTGTGTTGATTAGAGCATTTATCGAGGAAAACTTTAGCGCATACAGCTGCGATTAATAAGAGCGAAGAATCAGAGGAAAAAGTAGAAAAAAAAGGGAAATGGTTTCATTTTTAGAGCCTTCCGTTACGTGCTTTGCGAAAACGATTCAAGTATAAGAATTAAGTATAATAATTGAAAGAATATCCGCGACAGAATATGTCCATCTTCACATCTCGCAGACGACTTCGTGGGTAACAACTATGATTTTTAAAAGAACTCGTTTGAAAAAATACATAATACAATGCCTAAAATAACTATTTTACGCGGACAAAGTCACGAACACAGCTAGTTATACATATTATGCATTTGACGTAGTCGGATTGCCCGATAGAATAATGGTTATGCTACAATACTCAAAATAGACGTCTCATCGTAACGTAGTAAAGTATCACACCCTTGTCTGTTGCCAGTACAACAGGCGAATAGAGCAAAACAAATTAACATAAAATACGCAACGATAGAATGAATCCAAACGGATTACTTTTGAAACAGATTATTTTAATTTTTATATGTGTTGTAAAGAGTCTAAATTATATTTTTTCTAAAGGATAAAACAAGTGAACAAATAAGCTCGCGCGACGCTTCACTCCGATAAACATAATGCAATGTTCATATAGAAATAGGTATAACCGTTTTCCGATGTGAACAACACTTATCGACAAAGCGAAGTGTAAGAATTACTAAGTGAATATCCCTGTTTCGTCGCCAACACGTTTTTATTCTTGATTTTCCTTCTCGCGGTAAACATGAATATAAATAGGACTAATATTAAATGTCCCATTCACACCGTATCAAGTAATCCCCTTTTACGTAGACTGTCTACTTGTTGGGCCGAGTAATATGCACCATCATTCATACTTAGTTGGACTTTTCAATTTACTTTTCGTAAAGAAAAGCGAAAATAAAGATAGATTACTCCTCTGAATTGCTTTGTGATCTGTGGTATATTTGACTGCGATTGAAACTTTTGATATTAAAAAAAATTTCAACTTGTAAATTTCTCTTGAAGCAACCATGGGTCTGTGAAAATTACATCACTATCGGCTCAGTCGTGTTAATACTGATAAAGAGAGTACAGGAGAGCGGATATATAAGCCCTTAAAAAATTCCTGTTTTACAAATTTCCTTTTTTAACTCCCAATTGTCCCATTCGACTTACACTTAATTTTAACTGTTCATGACTATTTAATAATAGGATAACACAATATCCTCCGTTAAAGTGAAATGGAAAAACGTGTTGGTAGATAATGTAGATCGGATCACATGGCATTCTATCATTGTCCCTAATAGAAAATAATAATTATAATTTCATATTATACTAAGACGATGTTTTAAAACGTCAATATCACACGTTATCGCACATGATAGCACTATATAAATTAAATCCATTATAAATTTAAAGAAATTACGACAGTTTGAACAATTAGTTAGAGCAACGGCACGGAACAGTGAGGATGCCGGTTCGGGTCGTGCGCGAGTCTTTAGATTTTTTCAATGTAAAATCGATTTTAATTTATAAGACGATGTATTTATAATGTTAACATTAGAGAATTCAACCCACTATCTAAGGTTTTCATAATATTACCTAAATAAATATTGATTTTTATTAAACAAACCTTTCAGTGATGGCTTTTAGACTAGTATTTATTCTGGCGGCATTTATTATTGACAAGAGAAATAATAAGTCATAGGTCAGTGAATAATATATTCAAACTGCCTACAAAGCTCTTTGTATATATTCGAAGTTTCTTATTGTTTGCCCATACTTTAAGAACGTACAACAAATTTTAGTTGTGCTAAATTACGTTATTGACCTTACCCCTCCAGGCGAACTTCAAAGGTCAGAGTTGCTTGTTAAAAGTCGGGGCAGATTGGGAGAAGAAATAAAATGTACTAGCAACACATTCAAACAATTCGTCGTTCCCATGTTTAGATAGTCAAATAGCTGTTATTGTTTTACCTAAATCTAACCTTAATGAAAGAACATACATTTCGATATGTAGGTCGCTTGTACGTCATTTGAAGGAAAACGTTTATCATTCCGAAATTAATTATTATAAGAATAATTCAGAAAGTGTATATAATATGTAAATTAAACCTTAATACGCAAGTAATAAGATTGAAATTATAATGCGTGAGAGGTGCATATTAATACAAGTTTAAAAAACTCGACGATGACGTGTAGGACTCGTAAGTTTTTTCAATCTATAATCGATTTTTAAGCATATATAAGGTCTCCCCGTGACCACGGTTGCTGCTAAGCATCCGAAACGTCGGGCCTAAGTTAAAAATCATTTTCAAATAAGTTTAACTAATATATTGCGTTTTAAAGCGTTAAAGTGTTTTATTTAAAAGTATATATAAGTTCTGTCTTCTGTTTTATCATTTTGTATTAAATTATAATTAAAAGGCCATATAATACGTTTGACTAATTTTCATAAAATATAAACTGCAGTGACACATTTATTTTGACACGTTTCGGACCTGTTTACAATTTTTTTTTGTTGCAATTTTGAATTTCAGTCTTTAATTTAATCACGCTTTATAAATATCAAAGTTTGATTCAAACCCAAGACCTTTATCAAAGGCAATTTTCACTCCTTCACAGTAATATATTTTCTTTTTAAGGATATAGGAGGACCGACAAACATACTGTTTACTTGATGATAATGTATAAATACTCCAGAGATATATATTTGGGATTTGGATATTCGGAAACGCACAGACTGAAACCGAAGCAAGATTTCCCATCTGTGGACTATGGTTGAAATATGCTCCATATTTCTAAAACTAATTAAATACATTCTCCAGACGAAACCCAATATGTATCAGATAAAAATTAAATTGATCGGAAAAATGTTAGAGCCGGTCGGGCTAAAACTCACGACATGTTGTTTTTTAACCATATATTGTCACATTAGAACATCAGGCCCGTCAAAAACTTGTATTTATAATTATATACCATCATGTTGTTGTATCGATTATAATTTTCAATTTAACTAAAAATAAAGTTTTCAATGCCATAATGGCTAATGTATAGGAAATATAAATTATATTAAATTAAGGGTTCGGGCCTAATGTAGCGCTATAACGTTAAGATTATGTCGTGTTTGAGGGCACTAAAGAATTGTTCCACTCATAATTGCGGCGAACAAAACTGCGAGTTGTTTTGTAGAGACATGCAAACATTAATAATGCCGAGATTTTTATGTTTTTCGTTTCAGACACGCATAATAACACGGTAGTTGTAGTCAGATATGTTCAAGGAATGTATTATTGCACGTCAATTTTATATGGCTCTTAAAATATACATTTGTAGTACAATGGAAAACTGTATGTGTTTTTAACGCTGACGATGTCGGTTTAAGTCCTGCCCGAGTCAATTTTTTTTTAAATTTATTTTCGATTTTTAAGTTATATAGTGCCTTCATGTGCAATAACATGTAAAAAATAATAATATTTTCAATGGAATACTGATTGAATAAGACAAATTGTACCACTTCAAATGCGATACATAAGTACCTTATGGCCCGATGTGTTGATGCTTTCACCGTGGACTAGTAAAAATAAGTAATACTTAAATAGACAATGATAGAAAAATACGAAATAGATAAAATCTATTTCAGATTGATTTGAAATTGATTTGATTTTTATACTAGTATAATGCCTAAGTGTGAAAACATACTTTTCAAATTTTGAATTCTGTTGAAATGAGTTATATATACAAAATATGTATTCGCCTGTCTAATACAAGTAATAATATACTACTATAATACAAGATTATACCATAAAGAGCGTAAAATTAGATCCCAAGCTTTTATTAATACGTAGATTAAATTTTGAGCGCTCCCTTTGTTGGTAAAAACTACCGCAAGAAACTAAAGTGAGCGCTTTGAAACATAATTTCCGCAAGTTCTATAAACAAAAGCTTCAACACTAAATAGACACTAAACTCGTGGAGAGCTAAGGAAAGCTCTTACGTCTTCCGTTCTCTCAATATATCATATTTTTTCCCGCCTGAAGATATACGAGCGGTCTAGCGCGTGACAGCCTTCCGGGGGCAATATTAATAAAATTATTGTGGGGACACATACCGGGGTATGACCTACTCGTATGTTCTACTTCGCAGTTGCCAGCGTTTAATGAACTGGACTATTGTTTCCTGTTTAATTGGTACATACAAATCAAACTGTAGCTTAGGGCTTTGATGTGTTCAATGTATAGAAGTTTAAAATTAATTACTCAATTTTCTGTCAACCGTCACTAAAAAACATATAAAATTCTGGAAATATGAATATTTCAATCGCTTTTAACGGTTTAAAACGCGACGTGTTTGAGTCAAAATTATTTTCGACTGTGTCAGCGACTTCGTCCGCGTCGATTAGATATTATGGGCATCAAAATTTGTTTTTTTGCAAACTACCTCCTCTTTATCTTTATAAATTTAAGATTTACCCACGACGTCCGTATTGTCCCGTCGTTCTTGCATTTTAAAATAATTATTTAAAGAGGAATCAATCTTTCATACATAATTTTTGGGTATCTTGAACAATTTTTACGCAAAGGATACACACAAAGATGAATTTTTTCACATTCCCCGTTTTTTTTTCACATTTCTCGCTGTCTCTTCGCTCCTATAAGTCACAGTGCGATGTTAAATGCCTAAAACCTTCCTCGATTAACGTTCTAAGTAACACAAAAATAATTTCAATTCAAACCGGTAGTTCCTGAGGCTAGCGCGTTCAAACAAACGATTATCGATCCATCGCTTAATGCATTAGAATTAACATTAATCACGGCCGCTACAAGCGATGTGAATACTGTTTCGGTGCTTGCTCTTTGATTAGATTTTTACCGAACAAACCCATCCATCGAACCACAAAAGGTCGGTGATCGGCGCTACGTCCGACTGCCGATTCCCATTCGTTTCGCTGTCCAGAAATTTTCGCAATAAAATTAATCGCTTCAATAAAATCGAAGTGGAATAGCTATGCATGAGCACTTTTTAATTGGATAGAACAATTGTTTTTTTGTTGAACGATTCGGAATGAGTTATTCAGCAAGACACCGTTTTGCGTTCCTTGAACTTTTCTGCTGACTGATCTCTGTAAGTTATCATATTGCTTAAAATTTTGGAGATTTGATACTGAAATATATGTATAGTATAACATTCTTTACACTTTACGCAAACAGTACTTAGAATATATAACACGTTTAACGGTTTAAAACATGAAATATAAAACAACACATTATGGATACTTTGCAGATTGAAATTAGCTACATTTGTGATGTCATCCTGGTAATGCTAAGAAATAATATAATTTCTTCCTTCTTGGTCTAATAATACCGTTGGTAAGAATGTCATCCGTCCGGGTCACGAACCACGGTGCAAAGACGAAATAGCTGTTTAATAAAAACAAAATGTATCTTTTTTAATAATATAGAACTGGGATATTTCACATACCGTTAAGTCAACCCGATGTTTATCTATCTTCCTATATCATAAAATAGTTTGTCTCTTATCGGGTTCAAAAAAGAGAATGATTAACATCTCTATCATCTGTGTAACATAAAGCAGTTGTAATTACTGATAATTTTTCGCACACTGTGCGCAAAATGTCACAATCGCAAGCGTTTATTTTTGAACATATTTATGGGTCTTTCAGCTCACACAGTTCATCATTTTCCGCGCCGCCAATTAAAGTGAGCAATTTGTTACATATGAACGCAAATCCCGGTGAGATTAACAATAAAAATCAGACAGATGCACGGGCACTGCCAACGGACAAACGGAAACGTATCCGCCATTTTAATTTTCGACAAGCAATCGCGCCTAATGGGTCGATTCCCACTTGAGTTTGTTCGATTTTGTTTAATTTGATCGCATCGCCGAGAGAACGCAAGCTTCGGCAATAAGCGCTACGTTCGACTTTTGATAGGTAGGTCTCCCGTAGTTATTTTTCGAAGTGTATCGGGTCTGTTAGCTTTTTAATCGCTTACATGGTTTAACTAGTTCTCTTTTCCTCGACCATTTAGCTATCACGTTGAAACAAGAATATCTACGCCTTATGGTGCGTTGGCCAGTTTTTGTTGTATACAGTTATATAGCGGGTAATTTCAACGTTACAAGATAAAATTAACATTACTGCTTACATAGCTTCTTAATGTCATAGGAAATCATAAAAAAGGTCATGTTAATTGCAAATAATATGAGGTCTTGTATAGGTAAGCCACTGAAATATTAATATAAGGCTATAGTTAAGTAGTACACATGAAGGCACTATATAATTCAAAAATGAAAATTTTATTTTGATTGGTAGAGCAACAGCACGGAATGCTACGCTGACGATGCCGGTTCAAATCCTGCCCGAGTCGAAATTTTTTTCAGTTTATTTTCAAGTTTTAAATTATATAGTGCCTTCATGTCCAATAATATGAAAAAAATATTAAAGGTTTCAGCATTATATTCGTTACCATAATTTTTATTTTGACCCGACATTTTCGTTGTTTTTAATAAGTTATTAATAATTACTTCAAAATCTTAACAACTGGTTTTTATGTAACCTTTAATTTGATTCATACTACCAAATTGTAAAATATTAAACCAAAACTAATTAATTGATTCGAATAGCTATTTTGAGTTCAACCGCGGCTGATGTTCAAATTAAGGAACGAGCAACGCCATCCATCTTTTATGAAAGTTAATTATGCCCGCGTAATGGTGGAAAACTAAAAACAAAATAGCCAAGACAATGAAAGAGGTGGCGGAGTCACGGAGCGCTAGTTAAGAATAATTAAGACTAATGCCTGACACCGCTTAATTCTGGTGCTGCTATGCTACTTTCCCAGGACACCGTAAGTATGAAAAGTGCATTTTTTACCGTCTCATTACCGGCTTTGCGGTTTATACTGTCTCCAACATATATAGGATTGTAGTAGTTTATTAATTTATTGAGGAAACAGCGCTGTCCCTTCTCATAAGTAAAACTAATTAACATTTTCTTATAGACTACCAAACTTTCTTATAGAAATCTAAATGTACGTATATACTCAGTAGATAACATTACTATTGGAGTAAACAAAAAATACGAACACATTATGGTCTTCGACGCAGGCGCATCGAAAGACGCGGTTGACATAGTAACAATGTGGAGCCATTTTTACTGAATCCATTTTAATAGTTTCCGAGACTACATCGATACAATATGTTAAACATAATTGAGTATCTCTGTAAGAACTTAAACGACATGATTTACATTATACATTCCTGAAAGACAATTGGAATATTTTTTTTGTTATAAGTAGATAATAGGTAATGCGCTTATATATAATATAAACAATAGATAAAAACTTATTTTTAGGCCTAACGAATTTATATAAAAAGATTGGAATTGGGTTAGCCGTTATGGAGTTTGCGCACAAACAAAGTGAAAGGAGAGTTTTACCTATTGGACTGTACAAAAAAATATAGTTTTTGTTTGTTTCATCATCCTTCATCTATCACAGCGCTCTGTGTTTTTTTGATAATTTTTCTTTTCAGAGATTTTTGTGTTCGTATAATTTTTTTCTATACAAATAATTCAGGGTCAGCCAGTTAATATTATAAATTATTGGCATCTTATTACAATCATGAGACATTTATAGGTTATAGATGTCAACTGTCATGTTTGACTTAAATGACATTTAATGCGCGGGAAAATTAAAATAAAAAAAATCATGTATAGAACATGTATGTTGTAGTAATAAGCGTTATCTGTAATTATGCGAAATGATGTTACTTTATCACCCAAAAAGGTCATAATATGTTGAAAACTGACGAGAACTCAATATAAATTTGCTCGTCAACAATTATACTGTAATGAGTAAAATGATATGCGAAATACGTTTGAAAAGTTTTATTATTTTTAAATGTTGCACATGATGGTATAATATAAAATCTATAAACCAATTGTATTACCGTGTCAACTCAACAAGCCGGTTCATTTCCCGCCTGTGTCTTCGAATTAGTTAAATCTAAATAGATTTAAAATTTCTTAGGTTCCTACATTTTTGTTTTTGTTGTTTTTGTATTTGATTATATATATTTGAAGATATATGTTTGTTTTAACTTACTTTTATACATAAATTATCTGTGAAACTTATTTTATGCACATTTATGATATACTTTATTCTTACTATAAAATTCTTTCTTGATACTTGATTTATTGATTTAGAAATAAATACTTAAGTTTCATTGTGTCAATTTAAAGAGTAGACTCGTAGCCTATTCACAAGTGCCGTGGGTTCGAGTCCTGTCTTCTTGATTTCTTCATAGTGAAAATAGTCCAGCTTCAAATTTACTACAAACTATTAAAATAAAAGTGTGTATCCGTCGGGAAGGGCACTTACTAATAAAAGTTGAAATTTCCATAGTTATGTGCCTACGTCGCTTATCACATTTGGAAACGGTTTTTTTTCTATTTAATTAAAAAACTTCCTCACCAAGATCCTCAGCGTCTTCACTCCACTCGCCCTCCTGAGCCCAACAGGTGGCCAGCACCACGAACAAGCACAACCACTTGACGGTGCACATCGTTACATCATCACTCACACACACACACTGAACTGTTTCCTTCTTGTCATAACACCGTTTATCATTGTAGTAGTTCTATATATGGACACAGAGATACATTATCTAGAAGAAAGATGTGAATAATAATTCATTTATATTTCAAAGAGTTTAAAAAGAATTAACGAAAATCAACATTGGCGTATTACTGTTATACTGTCCTATTATAATTAATAAGTTTATAATGTTTTGTAAAGTAGCGGTTAATTATTTTATGTAATATCGATCGAGATATTAAATCGAACTTACGTAGGAAAAATCCAGCTTTGTCTGTAGTTTGCGCGAGTATAAAACATTTAAATAAACGGTTTTAAATTGCGCAATAATATATATATATATAACTAGTATTTAATTTATTTTCACGTCACACCGACAGTTTTGGGTGCTTTGCAGTAGTCGGGGTACTATTTAATGTTTACCGTGTTTTACCTGCTTAAAGGGTTGCTTTTTTTTATTAAGGACATTAAAAAGTGGATATATATTTAAATCAAGCAGGAGTTTAGGCGTAAAATAGTATCGATTAGAAAACAAATGAAAACGAATCCCCAACCAAGCGATCGTTTGGACCTTCGTCAAATAATAAAAGTTTGACGGTCGGTTACGTTTAGCATACATGAGTAAATAATGTCTTTAATCTCAACACAAACGACTGACCCTTATCCCGGAATGAAAAGTTACGCGAATAAAATAGGAGCAGTTACGAAAAATTTATTTTTTCGATTATGTTGTATAACGTTCGGTCGAGCGGAAAGGACAGGGGGCTAGTTCAAGTATGGTAACCCTTTACTAGATTTGTTCGGTAAATTGAACATGGAAACGTGACTACATTATATGGAAAACACGATGGGTTTAAATCGATATGTGAACTGTGTATCTGGACATAAGATCCTGGGTCCTAAGCATAAAGGTTGCACGGGCTCTTCTACTCTTTGTTCCTTCGCGAACGGTGTTTGGGAGTTCCGCTTGTTTATGTAAGCAATGTATAGCTAATTAATCGACAGGTTCGATCCTCGTCGGGCCCAACACTTTTTGATCAATTTGACATTTTTCTGACATGCTGGACTCTGTCTGCAAAGCTGGATATTAAATGGATGGTAGGAACATTGAAATTCCGCCCGGGTCACGAACGACTGTCGTAAAAACTCGTGAAGTGTTATTACTAGTAATAATTAGTCTCTGGATGTCTGAATATCCAAAGCCAAAATAGGCCGACAGCACATCTTGTTTAGAACCATCAAGTGAACCCCATGCTTGTCTGTCCTCATCTATCATTTAAAAAATAGGTTGACAACGCATTTTGTTTAGTTGTTTTAAGACCGTGTGTCCCTATGTCATAAATTAAAGTATATATTGCATTTAAAACGCGATGTATTAGTTAAACTTATTTGACAATGATTTTTGACTTTGGCCCGTCGTTTCGGATGCTTGCAGCAGCCGTGGACACGGCTGCTACGAAGCTTAAAAATTTCAAATAGTTTAACTAATATATCGCGTTTTAAACCGTTAAAGTGTTTTATTGAAATATAAAAAAGTTACTTCTCTGTTTATAATAAGGTAAGAAATATATATCGCGTTTTAAACCGTTAAATTGTTTGCTGCAAAGCATAATGTAATAGACTACGGGTATAGTCATCGTTGTGGGTATTCATTGTAATTTTCCAAATTCAAATGTCACTCTTTAGAAAGTTAAAATAAGTAAAACACTTTAACTATTTAAAAAGCGATACATTGTCGTTTAACTAAAATATATTGCGTTTTACACCGTTAAAGTGTTTTATTAAAATGTGTACTACTCGCGTAAACTATAGACAGTATATATTGCATTATCTGTGATATACAGATAACTACTCAAACGCAAGAGCTCGAATCAACTGGAATACTCTTGCCGATTTAAAATTATCAAACCTGTTTGGCGCGAACCTCTTCGCCCAGGATAAGCTTATTTATTGCCCAAGTTTGGTTCTGACCGCCTCACGTACATTATAGGGAGGCCTCCCTTTCCGGAATTGCCAATCGCTATTTTGATCTTATATGTTATTCAGTAACATTCACTCTAATATATCTCTGATTTTATTTCCGATTCCTTTTTATTTCATACACATTTTTTAGATATGTCTAGCTGGAAATATATAGGAAGCTTATAAAGCTTTAGATAAGTTATTATTTCTTTGTTATTATTGCTATATCTTATGAATACATTGCATACAATTAAATGTCTAATTGTTATGTGCCTCACATAAATTTTAGTTTTAAATTTCAATACGAATTACATCAGTTGTACAATTTAAAATATATAAGAAGCTTTTTTAGTGCCAGCCCAAAAACGCATTTCCAAGACCCCAAGTGTTATAGATGTCTATTAGTGAACCGCTTGCTTGCTTGTCTGATCATTAAAAAAAGCCAAAAGATTTAAAATATTCTTTAAAGTAGCATTGTTACATTTGTGAAAGTATTATCGCAAGTTTATATAATAGTGTTTTTATTACAAGTGAGGACAGACAAACATGAGATTCATTTGATATAAAAGTGAAACGGCCCAGCCATCAAACATCTATTCAGGATGCACTGTTAATCTATTTTGGGTTTGGGATATTCTGAAATCCACAGACTCGATTAAATTTAATTTCCTTATTATCCATAAACGGTGGTTGGCGTTTGAATTTCGAAATTCGTACCACCTCTTTATATACAGATGTTCAAACAATATATTATAAATACTGTCTATAGTTTACGCGAGTAGTACACATTTAAATAAAACACTTTAACGGTTTAAAACGCGATAAATAAGTTAAACTTATTTGAAAATGATTTTTCACTTCGACCCGACGTTTCGGATGCTTTGCAGCAGCCGTGGTCACGGGGAGACTGCAAAGCATCCGAAACGTCGGGCCGAAGTTAAAAATCATTTTTCAAATAAGTTTAACTAATATATCGCGTTTTAAACCGTTAAAGTGTTTTATTTAAATATATTATAAATTGATTAGAAATTTCAATTAGCCATACTATACTACTATTAAACCATCTAGCTCGTCAAAATTGATAAATACATCAAGATCGAGCATAAACAAGTCATCTATCAATAAAAGGCTTTATTTTAAGCTGCCATTCATCTTCACTTTATGAAATGTGGTATCAATTGACGAGGGAAGGATTTGACGACCTCGAAATTTTCGTATACGTTTAGGCAATGCTTCGGAAGAACCCTCTTTCGGTTGAACGGTAGTGCTGAATCTTTTATTAGCTTTGTGAATGGATGGCCAGTTGACATAACCGTCGCGGACATCTGTTGTGCTATAGGCGATATTTCCTTCGGCCCTCCCTCTATTTAGGAGGTGGATACCACTACTTTTGTGCACGTGGAATATTTTAGGGATGAATTGAAACGGACGTAATACGTGTCGGTAGGGGAAGACAATCGCTGAGCCGGCGAATATGAATGTATTGTGCGTCATCAGAAAACTTGTATTATACGGTTTATATCGGAAATTGGATCCGGGAGGGTTTATTCAATTGATTTTCGGTACGTGGGTTTTGTGATTACGAGTTTTGCGAAACGTTTTCTAGATGGTAACGTCGTGACATGTAAATAATACACTTTACATATCATTTTTTATTAATATTAACACTTATCTATGTATTTTTTCGTCTATTAGTGAGGTGCAAATCTGAATCAAATAGATGACTTAATAAACAATCCTAAAATATTAACATTATTGGAATTACGCTTGTGTTTAAAATTGTTAGCTTTATTGTATATTATAATATACCTAAAGACTATACACCCATTGATGTGCGCAGTATATGCGATCAATTAATATTTAAAATGAACTCTTTTAACGGTTTAAAACGTGAAATATATAAGTAAACTTACTTTTAATTACGGCCCGATATTTTGAATGTTTTCAGCAGCTATTTATGTCGTATTTAACACCGTCGGAAATGTTTTATTTAAATATCTACGTATTTATAAAACACACAATTGTAAAACAAAATAATCCTAAGTTGTTTATCGTTCTGTATTAAACAGACAAACCTTTCCATTTTATAATAATAGAGATAATGAAATGCTTAAATAATTCGTCGTATATTTACGCCTATGTCCTTACCTTGAATGGTTTGTTATTGCCGGCTTTGGAATAAGAATTCAATTTGCTTTGAGTGGAGCTTTTTGAATGCGTGGGTTTCTTACTTGTAATACAAGTATAATTTTGATTATAATAATTATCAACGCTTTACTTACTCGTAGCGCTTAGACCTACCGTCTATATAGAATGTCATTTAAATATTGTAGTTTAAGCCTTCCCAAACAATAACATTTTAAGAACCATAAGCCATATTTGTGTAAAAATAGACACTGAATTTTAACTACGGCCCGACGTTATCTCCCCGTGACCACGACTGCTGCAAAGCATCCGAAACGTCGCACCGTAGTTAAAAATAATTTTCAAACAAGTTTAACTAAAATATATCGCGATTTTAAGCCGTTAAAGTGTTTTCACATAAAAATACATTTCTTTTTTTCTAGTTTCTAAAACTAAAAAAAAAAGTAAATAGTTTAAATATTTTTAATATTTGTCAAATTATAGCTGTAATTTGTATATAAGAATTGTTATATTACTAAAGTCAGACTAAGGAGTTTTAAGCTTAAAGCAAAATATTGAAAAATACATCAAAAGTCCATAAACATTAATAAAATGGTATCCGAACCACTTCACAGAGGTAAGTGCAAAATGAGTTTCCGTTGGCACTTCCACCAAATTAAGCCTGGAAAAATATTTCCTAAATCAAGTTCGCCGCTTGAACGGAGGTTAGTCGCGAAAACGTCTTCTTATAGACATTTTTTCAGCTCGTTTAACGTTAAACTCAGTCGCAGCATCTTTTGTAAATGACTGGAATTCTTAAAAATATGCTACAGTTGGCATTTTCAGAATTATACCAACGCAATGAAAGAGCGCTGTAGCGAG